GTAACCAGTGGCAATGCTCTGACAGCCGCAGGACTCACAAGAGTTAGACAGGGGAGCTGAAGGGATCTGCTGGGAAGGTAAGAATATTGCTGAAAATATAGAATATTGGCCGATAATATCGGCCAGACCGATATTTGGTCGATCCCTAAGTCCTATACATCTTAATTTTGGAAACAAACATGTGCACTGCAATACTTACTGCTTCCCTGGAAGCCCAAAATTCCCTTTTTTTTCTGTATTTCAAAATGTCCCATTTACTTTACAACAGAGATGTATAGTTGTTTCTTCTAAATAAGCAGTAAAAGTCATACAGGAAACATATAGTGATGACACTGTGAAATTTCATTGTTATTAAGTTACGACTTAAGACAAACATTTATATTTTGAACCAAGTAATCTAGTCAATTTTTGTCTACTTTATGTATAACTGAATTTTTGGCTTTTACTAAATAATGTATTGTGGCAAATTTAGTAAGGTATGCACTTTAAAGGAACAATCTAAGGCGGCACTAAAAATATTTTTTATCTCATTATGTTATATAGCTTGGAGTCCCCTTCGACTGTCCCTCTATTCAATGTTAAACCATTTTCAAGCAGTTTAACACTGAACTTGGGTCCCTAGCTTCCCATAGGCCCATAGGAAGCCTAATATTACACACTGCCTTCTCGCCATACCAATTCATACAAGAAATGGGCACTGCACAGCTTCCTAGTGTCTCAATTTAGGAGGGGCAGTGCTTATTTTGGGGCCAAATCCCTCTGTCCCTCTTTTCTATCCTAATTTATTTCTTTTATAGGAGCTCCATGTTGTTGCTGCGTCTGAGTGTATAACAGAACTCCACAGCAATAGTGCACACAGAAATGTGTCTTTGAACAATAATAAATGTGTTTAGAAATCAGTCTGTGTAAATAGAATACATTGTTCTTGTTGTAAATGACATTTTGGCTTCACAAATTAGTATTAGTAAAGCACGGATAAAGTTCTCAGAGCAGCCTCACCCAGTCACACCACGATCTACATCCATAAAATTAAAGTATCCCTCTTTGTTGACTAGGAATGTTGGGACGTATAGCACTGTAAGAGGCTGAAATAAAACCAGGGAACTGGCACTCCCAGTCAATCACAGCTGCCCATTCCTGCTAATGTTTCCTCATTAACCATAGCAGCATAGAAGGGATAAGCTGCTGGGGACTCTGGTTTAGCATTAAAAATGTTTTAACACTGAACAGAAAGACAGCACTAGGGTACTTCAGACACTATTGACGAGATGAAGCAGTTACAGTGCCTGCAGCGGGCTTTAAACTTATAGTTATATAACAGTGACTAAAGTAACTCCAGTGTACAAAGCTGAGCTTCTATGCTATGTTTATCTCGTTGTGTATTTTTAAGTTAATTAACTTGTTTATGAATAGGTAACGTGATTAGTATAGGGAAAATTTACTGAATAATGTGGTACTTTATGTGAAAAGCCTACTGACTGATAACTTACACTGTAAAAAATCTTGGGAAACACATTTGATAAACATGCACATGTTTACTGTAACAGGAAACGGACATAATATTTTTCTTACAAATAATTACATAATCTCAGAATTTATTCTGACGCCTTTAGGAGGATTAAGAAGATCATTTGTGAATACATATTTTAAATCGGTTGATATTCATTTTAAGGGGCTTTCACACTTTCAATGTCCTTTGGTATTTTTCTGCAGATTACCATAGCATGTGAGTCACTGTGTCATGTTCTGTATGTTTCACAGTTTAGTACTTTTCATGTTTATTATTACTAACAAGATTGGATTTACAGCATACAGTCATTACTGTTATTTAAAAAAAAAAACACAAAAAAAAAACATGTAATGTCAGTCATTTTACCATTGAGGGAATAAGAACCATTTGATTTCATGGGGGGTGGTGGGGCGGTTTTAAGCAAAATTAACAAAAATGGCATTAACAAATTGAACAGGAAACTGTCTAAATGCAGTGTATATGCTCTTTTTGTCCTCTTGTGCAATTACAATTTGCAATGGGAATTGTCATAACCTAAATCACATCTCAAATATATATTGTGTTTTGCTTGGAATGTAAAATATGTAACAAAGATTTGAAGTGAAAAATGACAATCCTCTTCCAGTAAGGAAGAAGATTGTAAGTGGACGATGAAAAATGTTATATTGAACGGGCATTGCTTGGTGGCGCTGACCCAGCCTGGAGCCCTGGTTGGGCCCTAAACATGTCTTTAAATGTTCTAAAAAGAAAGGGGATGGTAGAGTGCAAAAGACATCAAAGAAATAAAATGCATATACTACTAAACTCTAGGGTAATATAAGAGGGAATGCAGAAGTACCTTATCGGAAAACACCTCTTATCTATATAGTAAGCATAAATACAAAAAAAGAAATGGACTGTGCTATCTAACTACTGTAGATACCCTCTTTATATCTATGACATTCCAGAAACAAGCAACACATGATGCAAACAGAACACCATATATAAATTTACACTCACCCTCATCACAATAAGGGGAAGGTGATGAAAAAAGTTTTAAAAAGGAAGAAAAACTCTTTGATTTATATGTGAAAACTAACTATTTATTTGCATTAAAAATATATATATAAATATATAAAATTGATTAGGATTTATTTTTAATAATAAAAGGATTTCCACAATATTCCACAATATTGCTAAATGTCCATAGACATTCATTTCCATCTGGGAGAGTTTGCTGCAATTCTCTCTGTACTTCATTGAAGTAGTTATAGTGTCTGGAGTCACCTTCTATTTAACATCAAACTGTTTTTAATGATAAACACAAGTCCGCAGCAACCTGTACCCTCTATGCTTCTTTGGCCTAATGAGGGAGCATTAGCATGAGCAGCAATAGGTAGCTGTGATTGGCTCAGGGTATCAGCTGACTGCAATTATCCTATCACATTGCAATTGCAGGTATGAATCAATATAGTTACAAGAAAGTGCCTAATCTCCACACCTCCAATGAGGGCAAGGCTATGGAAAGTCAGGGACCCTCATTCAGCGTAAAACTACTTTAAAATAGTTAAATACTGAATGGAGTGACAGAGCCAAGGGACTCCAGGCACAATAACTAATTCAATGATAAAATGGTTATAGAACCTACAGTGTCCCTTTAATTTTTTAAGCCCCAGATTTTCTTTATTGTAATCCAGAATGATTAAGGGAATTTCTTTGGGTTGTTGGTTATCTAATCTTTTGTTTTAACTTGGATTTACTTAGTAATTTAGATCTATCGATTTTCTCTTTTTTCTCTTAATGATATGGTTAATTCTTCCTTTTCATATTCTTTTTCCAATATTTTTTATTTAATGATTTCCGCTTGTTCTTGGTAGATTGCTTGATCTATACAGTTGCGTCTTAGTCTTTCAAATTCATTGCTCAGTACATTATGAAGCCATGGTTGATAGCGGCAGCTATTTTTTAATATAAAGCGGTTCACATCCACTCTTTGAAATAAGACTCCTTGCTGTATGTATGTTGTCTGTCTAACCCCCCCAGTAAGAATTTAGGTATTCTAGATTCTAATTCTAGATCTAATTCCTCCAAATCATTGTGTTCTCTTTTCCATATAAGAAAGATATCATCTATATACCTCTTATAAAAACAGATGTTATGGTCAGTGGTGTATTCTGGTTTTGTGCTGCCCTAGGCATGACAAAACTCGGCACCTCCCTACCCCCTTCCAAATTTCTCTTCCTGACAGACACACTCCCTCACTGATGCATGCACTGACATACACTCACTGACAGATACACAGTCATTGTCACACACACTCTTTAACCAACACACACTTTTAATTACACATTCACAGACATACTCACTTATTCACTCACAGTTCCACACACACTCACATTCACTGATAGACACACATACACACTGGCAGACACGCATTCACTGACAGACATACACACTCACTGACAAGACACACATGCACACTCACTGACAGACACATACACTGACAGATACACACTCACTGACAGATGCACACACACTCAGTGTCAGACACACACACTGAGACACACATATACTCACTGACAGATACACACTGACAAACACACATACATACTCACTGGCAGACAGGACTGGATTAACATACGGGCTGATGGAGCTGCAGCTCCAGGCCCAGGCCAATGGAATATGCCTATTGATTAAAAAAAATATATATATATATATGTATATATATATATATATATATATATATTAATTTTTGAAAAAAACATTTTATCTTATTTTTTTACACACTGCTCTTAGAGTTGCCACCTGGCCGGTATTTATTTGAGGCTACCTGGCTGGTGCCAATATTGCAGCATTACCGGCAATACAAATGCCGGTATTTTTCTCAGTATAAACAGAGATTACTCTGCAATAACAGCACCAGCCAGTAGGGGTCGCTGTGTGGGTGAAGAGAGGCAGGGATAGGAAGTTACCTGCATCTCCCTACTTACTGATCCACAGGGGAGCAGCTACACAGCACAGAGACAGTCTACAGTGTCTCAGTGTCCCCATATCTCCCAGTGTCTACATGTCTCCCAGTGTCTGTGTCCCCATGTCTCCTAGTATCCCCATGTCCCCAAGTGTCTTAGTGTCTCCATGTCTCTCAGTCTCCCTATGTCTCTCAGTGTCCCCTAGTAACATGGGGACACTGGGAGTCATGGAGACACAGACACTATGGATGAGGGATGGGTTAAAGGCTGCCATGGCAGACATGGGGGGCACTGAGACACTAGGGAACCTCTGGGGACGCTGAGACACTTGGGGACACTTGGAGACACAGGAACACAGACACAAATGGGGACACTGAGATATGGGGAAACCTATACATGGGGACACTGAGACATGGTGACACTGGAACTCTGAGACACATCTGGGGACACTGAGATGCTAGGGGACACTGAGACACTAGGGGATGCTGGGAGACATGGGGACACAGACACACATGGGGACACTGAGATATGGGGAAACCTACACACATGGGGACACTGAGACACTGGGAGACATGGGGACACTGAGACACTAGGGACACAATGTCCCCAAGTGTCTCGGTGTCCCCATGTCTCCCAGCCAGTGTCCCTAGTGTCTCAGTGTCCCCATGTCTCCCAGTGTCCCCATGTCTCCCAGTGTCCACATGTCTCCCAGTATCTGTGTCCCCATGTCCCCATGTCTCTCAGTGTCCCCAAGTGTCTCAATGTCTCCATGTCTCTCAGTGTCCCCATGTCTCTCAGTGTCCCCTATTGACATGGGGACACTGGGAGTCATGGGGACACAGACACTAGGGGTCACTGGGTGACATGGAGATATGGGGCAACATGGGGACACTGGGAGAAATAGGACACTGAGACAATGTGATACATAGAGACACTGTGATACATAGTCTCAGTGTCCCCAAGTCTCCCAGTGTCCCGAAATCTCTCAGTATCCCCATGTGTCACAGTGTCCCCTAGTGACATGGGGACACAGACAATAGGGGGCACTAGGTGACATGGGGAGACAGGGAAACACTGGGAGCAATCCATCTATACAGCAGAATCAAACTGTAAGTAGTTTTTTGGTGATTTTACAGAACTTTCTCTTATGTCACTCCTTGTGATTTACATCATGTGATGTCATGCATACATAGTTAGTTATGCAAATTAGTAAGGCCTATATTTTTTTCCAAGTAAGGTGGCAACCCGAACTACTCTTCACATACTCTTGCTTAAGTATGGAAACTTAAGAGGGATATATGGAAACAAAACTTGTGTGGACTAGATGAAATTAGATTAGTTAAGGTAATGCTGACTTTGGTCTCTCTAACACTGTGGCATGTTCCCTTTCTTCTACACTCACTACATCCACCTTTTCTCTGTCTCAGACTGTATACCAGGAGCTTCTGCCGCTAGTAAGAAGGTAAGGAGACAAGTGGACATGTGAGTGCTAGGTGACAGTCCTTAGAAAGCATGGAGCGAGTGCATCATTAGACGCATTTATGCCAAACTCAGGATGCTGTTGGCCAGCATGCCAGGCTAGCCTTCCAATTCTTTGGGCAGACACGACTCATTTTTGGGCATGTTCGTCCCTTTCTGAGGTTCTGTTTACATGATCCGCGTCAGTGGCCCACCCTTTTACACCGCCCATTGATTCCTGCTTCCCTGGACACTGCTGTTAGGGAGTATGAATTTACTTGAAAGATAAAAGCATGAATTAGAGAGAGATAAGCATATTTTAAGAGAATCTGAGTTTCTTATAGCTGCATCCTATGAATTTCCCTCCAGCAACATCTCCATCAGATACATAACGCTTGAGAGATATGACTGTTTTAGTGTTTTTGGTAGATACGATTCTGTACTTAGGCCCCTCATAATTGTCAGCACCAGACCCACTAGGCTTTTAATCTGGTCCTGCTGGCAGACAAATGTACACGCTGTGTCAGACACACACATTCACTAACAGACACACACACTAACACACTCACTGACCTATTGTCTCCCCCTCATGGCCCCCACCCACAAGTGACTATGGGTCCCCAAGCCCCTAGTCACCCACCTTCCTAGTAAAATTAAACCCTACGTACCCCTCACCCAAAAAATAGAGAGGGGAACAAAAAACGAAATACCTGTAAGAAAAAAAAACCTATACTAACAATTAGATGTCTTCTTTTTTCTTAAACCTCCTTTTTTTCAGCCCCAAAAAAGGCTAAATAAAAAGCCATAATTCCCGTCAAACTTTGGAAAAAAAAACCCAAGCGCAAAAAAAAAACATGCCGAAAAAAGAAAATTCACCCAGCGAGGGCACTGTACAGACTGAGCTCCGCAGAGTGGGAAAAGGCTTAAAAAGCCTTCCCAAGCCCTGCAATTCGACTCAGACCGCTCTGATTGGTTGGTTTAAGCCAACCAATAAGAGTGTTCTGATAGGTTAATTTGAGCCTTACGAGTTACCAATCAGAGCCTGAGTTGCTAGGCAGGAATGTTAACATTCCATTTGATTCGTGGGTGGTACAAAACTCTATTAGCTTGATGACTAGTGTAATAAGACCGGTGAATGCCTGATTCAGACTTGAATTTGGTCCAGCGAATTTGACATTCAAGCCCAATGGTCGCACTTAAAAATATGTGGCGCAAGAGCGTGCAGCATCACACGGAACACCGGGGGGCCCAGGTAGGGTACCAGCAACCCTGACAACTATTACTCATAATACACAGTACCACACATTGTACAAATACATGCATTCCCATTTACAGCATACTTTTGTTTTTACGTTCATCTTATTTTTATGTTTGAGTCAGGTACTGTGGAGAAACAAGGGCAGAGATACCCCAAGCTAGTAAAAAGAGGGAGAGGAGAAGAAGGATTTAGATAGTAAGATCTGAATACATAAAATATTAGTGTCTAAAAACAGAGATCAATAGCAGTGATGGCTCATTCATAGGGTTACTTAAGGCAGTGCCCCCCCCCCACCCCCTCCAGATAATTATTATTAAACAAAAAAAAATTGCCAGTGGTAAAAGAGTAAACTACTGACATTAACTTGCATATTTCTATACTTGTGTATGTAAAAAAAAAAAAAAAAATAGTTTCAAACAGATTACTTTGACTGAAAATAAAAATATTAAAAAAATTCAGGGCATTGAATGTCAACCATATGGCAACTTCTGCTTATTCAAATTTCAATAACAAAAAAAGATTTTCGAAAATGAATCAGATGAACCAAAAGGGCATGAAAATTTTCCAGTCAGCGTAAAGCAAAACATAAATGTAATATAAATGTTCTCACCATTTGGTTCACAGATCTAAGACAAAGTAACCAATAGAGGCATAAAGAGAAGCAGTAATAAAAATCTACATTTATAGATTATATATTTATTATTTATCTTAATATATACATTTAGATTTTTTTTTATTGCTCCTCCTTTTTTTCTATATGTCACTTCTAACTGAATCTGTGAATTTAGAGGCTTTCTCTTAAATCATAAATCATCTTTTTTTTCTTACCAATCATCTCTTTTATTTCAGCATCGGCGGGAATTCCGAATCTCACGTTAAAACTACCATGTTTGTCCATTGCGCATTCTGTTTGGTTCCTGAATCATTTTGGCTTGTCATTTAGGAATTTGTAGGATTTTTATCAGCCTGAATTTGGACAAATTGCAGTTTGTAATGAAATATGGTCATTGTATATTTTGCAAAACCCCTGATGGTGACATCGCTGCTTGAGGTGAAGAGACTGAGTGGTGCAGAATCAATAAGTTATACACCAAAATGCTCAGTTCCTAAGTTCCATAACAAAGCACAGAGAGACAGGTTCTCCTGATGTCTCAGCATCTCAGAGTATTATAGCACTGGCTACCCAGCAGTGACTCTTAAGACTATCTCTGAGCAGACACATTCTCACAAAACTCTCACTAAACATTACTGCAACATCCATGATATGCAAGGGGTGTCTAGCCTTGTGCCCCTCTGCATCCAGTGCATTTGCACATGGCTCAAACATCTGTCAGCCCTGTATAGCAAGTATTTATTTGTGCAAGGGAAAGCAGGGCAGTTGGCATTTTGGTAATAATGTTTTAAAAAGAATAAACTAAACATAGTTTCACTGAAATACAATTTCTGAGAGCTCTTGCCCTGTGTTACCAAATGTCTTGGCTTTCAAATGTTACTTTGACTGATTTTATTTAAAAAGTAAATTTTATTCAAAGGCAGAAACTAAAGTTACAATTGGGTATTTTATGAAGCCATTTAGTCTTATTTAACTCCCCCCAGGTGACAACCAGCTTCTGAAATCATCCGGGGGCCTCCAGGCAACATAACTTCATTTAGATTAAGTTGTTATGGTGCCTTAACGGTCCTTTTTACAGGATACGGCCATATGGTGGAACTAAATCTCCATATTTGTTTGCTGAGATAGATGATTTTAAGTAGCCTTGTAAAATGTAAAACTGTATTTTGTGTGCACTCTGTTCCTTAATCTGTATTTTGTATAAAAACTGGAGAGACATACAATGAGACAAGACCATTCCTCTGCTAGATATCCAGTTCTGAAGCCTGTACACCTCTTCTTCAACATGTCTCCTAAACCTCAACAGAGAGGACCAACAATGTTTTTTTTGGCTAATTAAGCATCTGTGTGTTTGACATGTTAAACATTATTGTTGGTTGTGTCAATAAATACTCAAAGGGAAACTATAGTTTTAGGAAAACAAAGTTGTTTTCCTGGCACTATAGCTACCTATAGTGCCCCCTCCCTGGTGCCCATTCTACCCATGGTGCAGAAGGAGTTAAAAATCTCTTCTGTCACTTACCTGATTCCGCCTTCGCTCCTCACCCACCAATGTCAGCCGCGCTCGCAAAAGCATTGCATAATGGTATGAGGACGTCCAGCTTCAGTTGGCCAGCCAAAGGTCACCTAACAATCCGAGTGTCCTTCTAGTGGCTGTCTGGTAGACATCCAGTAGAGGTGGAGTTAACCCTGGCAGGTAATTATTGAAGTTTCTCATAAACTTCAGTAATTAAAATTGCAGGGTTAAGGGAACTGGGACACTGCACCCAAACCACTTCAATGAGCTGAAGTGTTCTGGGTGCCTATAGTGTCCCTTTAACCTTTTTGGACCCTTGCCTTATTAACCCCTGCATTAAAAAGGCTATTTTGTACCTTGAAGAAAAGATTTAAAATTTAAATATATATATTTTTCTGTCATGTTCATCAGTAATGTCATTCATACTCCTACAATATACACTGCTTTTAAAGGATACTTCTGGCTTTATTTTTTTTTTTTAATAACATTTTTTAACAGGTTTGCTATTTTAGTTGTATGCAACCCATATAGTTAAAGAAATTTTTGTGAAAGTAGATTCATCAATTTGTTCTGATTTTGAGAATACCGTATATGCCTATGATCACATATTTGTTTTGCAGTTACAGATCATATACCAAAAGGAGTGCATGCCTGTTTTAAAGATAAATGGTTTTATGTATAGGTTGTCTAAGCTTAACCCATTAAACACCAGTGGTTTTCTGCACTTTTGCTATGTGTTTGTCCCACTTCTTCTGATATCACATATATACACTGAACACAACACTATATAAATATTATATATTTGTAGAAAGTAGACCTATCGGGGTATTAATTAACAACAGTTGGAAAGT